GCCGCTGTCGCCAGCGCCCCCCGCGCATCGCTGAGCCCGACCGGGCGCCGGCCCTTTCCCATGCGGGCTGCGAGGGCCCTGGGAGGGGCGCCCGGAGCCAGCCGCGCAGCATGCACTGGGGGGTTGGCTTTGCCTCGTCCAGGCCGTGCGTGGTGGACCTGAGCTGGAACCAGAGCATCTCTTTCTTCGGCTGGTGGGCCGGGTCCGAGGAGCCCTTCTCCTTTTATGGGGACATCATCGCTTTCCCTTTGCAGGATTACGGTGGGATCATGGCAGGGCTGGGCTCGGATCCCTGGTGGAAGAAAACCCTTTATTTGACCGGGGGAGCTCTGCTGGCCGCGGCTGCGTATCTGCTCCACGAACTCCTGGTCATTAGGTGAGCCGCAGAGAGGGACCCCGCACGCGGGCGCCGGGTGCCGACAGGGACACCTGGCCCAGGCAGGGCTGGCGCGAAGGGGGGTCCGAGACCAGCCCCTCTGTCCTGCTGCCTAAAGATCCAAGCGTCCTCTCTCATCCTTCCTCTAAGGGTTTCATGGTCACCTGGCCACTTGTGAGGGGCCATTTAGAGTTGATGGGAGAATTAAATTGGGAGGGGAAAGCATTTGCCTTCTAGCGTTTGGATGCTAAAAGCAAAGTGCCGTGAGTCACTCGTGCTATGGATCAAAACAGTCTGTTAAAGCCCCATAGAAAGATTCTAACTGCAATCAATGCCTTTGCAACAGTAGAATGAAGCTCTGCAGAAATACGAAGGTACACTTTTATAAACGCCTAATTGGTTTATGGGTAACAATGCTGGAATATTAAGTATTAACCTCATCTCTACATAAAAGGTTAGTTCTCCCTTACTCCTCACTAAATGTCAACATCATTAAGAGGCTGCAGCTGCAGAAGCTGGGAACCTCCTGTCGCTGTTTAAGATGCTTGGCTAAGTAGCCCTTGTTCAGTTTTGAGGCAGCCTTAACCTGCTTACCTGCTTATCTGGTATGGAACTGTAAGTGCCTTCAGGTTTAAATGCCATTGTGTGCACGGTAGCAGATCTGAGGGGAGCATTAGCACATGGGGTACTTGCCATAACAGGGAGTCTCCCTGGGTTGTAAACAGTTTCATGGCTGCCTGCCGCAGAATGTGTACAGGGCTGACTTGAGACTTAACAATAAACGGAGGCCCCTGGTGTTGGACCTGCTAGTCCCATAGCTCTTTAGCGGAGAAAGTGATACCACAGGATACCGAGACAGGCTTTGGTTAACTGATACGTCCGTTTATGGCTGAAATTTCCCCGCATTTGGGTCCCCAGTCACTGAGGATTATTGGAGGCAGAACAGTTTTCAGTAGTTGAACATTTCTCTTCTGCCCAGTGTTTTTCTGGAGGGGCAAGGATGTGCTAACACCACTTTCCCCAGAGGCATGGTGACTAGAATATAGGGAGTAGAGGTGCACAGTGCTAGGTTATAAAGTGGCTGGTGACCGCCAGTGGGCTGACGGGCGCTCCAGGAGGACGCTGTGATAGCCCGACAGTGTTCACACTGTTTGTTGGTTCTGAGAGGGTCAGAAATCAGCTAGGTCTGAGAAATTGTGTTGGTTTTCATATTATTTAGCCACAGTGGAAGACTGAGAAGTTTAAGCTCGCCATATCTCATTTAGCGCATTGTCTCGAATCTACTTGAACCAAATACAAAAGTTTTAAAGTGAAATGTCTCCAAGATTACTCCCCATGTATGCCACCTTAGAACTCTATTTCAAGTCAGGTTCTGTCCATATAGAGAACTGGCACACACTCTGCGGCACTTTAAACCGTACCTATTTGTTTCCCAGCTCTATTTCAATCCACAGCCTGTGAGGGCTGTTCCTGCGCCATGCCATGCAGCTTCCCAGCATTTTCTCAGTTGTGGACAGTGAAGGCTCCATATAATTGAATCTAAAATGTGGCCTAGATGACCTTGCATAAATAATGGGACCTTGGGAGCTCACTTTGGAAAAGACCACGCCCTGGAAGCTTAGGATCCTGGACACTCTTAAGTCCTCTGCCCACGTTAGGTCCTTCCCGGTTATGGTGACCACAAATCTCAGCTCCGGATGCTTCCTTGAATCGAGATGTTTTAAGACCCCTGTTCATTTACTTTGATTTCTTGAGAAATGAATTGATAAACCTTATTATACTACAAGCTGAAAGAAGGCTGCCAAAGTTTTAGGAACTTGGTAGGACTCTGCGTGGGACTGCAAGTATCTTCAACAACTACCACTCAAGAGTCGAGTGAGGTTAAGGAACCTGCCCAAGCACAAGCAGAAACAGGAGTGAGGCTCAGGTTCCAATATGGAGCCTGGCTGCTTGTGAGAAAGGGCTCACTTTGAGGTGTTTTGTTGGGGGAGAGAGGAGGAGAACAGGGGCATTTCCTAGGAAGACAGGCCTGTGGTCGAGAGGCAACGTTCTGCCAGTTTCCAAGAGCAGAGAGATAAGGGACAGACCGGAGCCCTGAAGACAGGCTGCAGAGGGCACAGGATAGGGAAACGTCCACTTGCTGTGTGATCTGAGCTTCACCTGTCTGTACAGAGTAGGCAGAGAAACAAATCAAAGCCTGAAATGTGTGGGAGGAAAACATGGCGTAAAATGTTCCCACTGTCGTTCATTGGCAGCTCGCAAGTCTTCCCTCCCGTGCCTGGACTTTCTGCTGCCCAGGTTAACCTTAGTCGGTGACTTTGTCTCAGGAGAGAATGAAGTTGTCAGGCCACTGAAGAAGCCTAATGAGGGAGTATAACGAACATATTTATTTCTAGGGGGAAGCATAGGCGCTTGTCTGGGATATTATTTTGGGTATCTGCATTGTCCCGACTGTTATATTTGTGAATGATTATTGTCGTAACCCTTTGTGTTCCTCAAGTGGAGATGGCCTGGCATCTATAATAAATTCACTCAAGCATCTGGATATTTGCTTGTAAACGGAATGACTAAACAATGTCTTCATTCCCAGGGGCTCATTTGCGCTTTGGTCCTCCAGCTGAAGGGTCCCTATCTGATCTGCACAAGTGACTCATGCCCGTCACAGAGGCATGATCATCTGCGGTGTCCTCAGAGCAGGGCAGGAACTAGTTAGTCCCTTATTAGGTGGGCCAGCTGGCCTGCTTCTCTTTTCAGATCTCACTCTAAGGTCATTGTATGAAACAAACTGCGCAGGAAGCAACCCATCTATCGGACCCTAAACTATTGGGTGGGTCCTGACAAATAGAAGGCCTATGGAGCAGCCGGATTATTTGGGTTCAAATTTGGTTCTGTGGTGCGGGAGAATTATCTGTATTCTGTCAATCATGTATTTTAATAAAACGCTGATTGGCCAGGCAGGAAGTATAGGCGGGTCAACCAGACAGGAAGTAGAGGCGGGGCAATGAGAATAGGATAAGGCTAGGGAGGAGGAAACTTCCTCAGCCACTCCTGCGCAGACCACCAAAGAGGCAGCATGTAACTTGCCCAGCTGAGAAAGGTACGGAGCCATTATGGCTAACATAGATAAGAATAATGGGTTAATATAAGTTATAAGAGTTAACAAGAAGCCTGACCTAATGGGCCAATCAGTTTATAATCTTATGGAGTCTTGTGCGTGATTTTCCTTGGGACTTGCTGGCTTATTGGGGTACTGGGCCAGACAGAAACCCCAACAAGCCGGCCCCACATGTTACAGTTCTGCATTTAGCCAACCAGACACTGTTGATGCTGATAACTTCTTAATTAGTATCATCTATACAGTAGAAATATACTTCCTTATCCACTTGACTTAATATGTAAATGCATGTGAACTACTTAGGACAGTTTGTCCTATGGACATTCTGTAAAGATTAGCCATCCCTAGTGAGCTGAGTCGCACTGGCTGGGTTAATAGAACTAACCAAGGAATTGCCAGTTTTCTTTTCTTTGGACTTTTGGGATCTAGAGTTATTTCTTTTTTTTATTTATTTACTTATTATGTATACAATATTCTGTCTGCAGACGAGAAGAGGGCACCAGACCTCATTACAGATGGTTGTGAGCCACCATGTGGTTGCCGGGAATTGAACTCAGGACCTTTGGAAGAACAGGCAATGCTCTTAACCGCTGAGCCATCTCTCCAGCCCCCTCTAGAGTTATTTCAAACTTGATACATAATATATATATTTTTTTCATTTGTACTAGGGGTTGGACCCAGTGTTCCACCTGTGGAAGCCAAATAACCCAGCGCTGAGCTATGTCCTCACCTCATTCCACTTTTGGCATTTTTCTCTTTTCCTTCCTTCCTTCCTTCCTTCCTTCCTTCCTTCCTTCCTTCCTCCCTCCCTCCCTCCCTCCCTCCCT